AGCAAACCTCAAATCAGGCCATGCAACCCTCCTACCGGGAGTGTGATTTGGGTGAGAAGGATACAAGATTAAAGATCTAGATTTTAACAAATTTGCCTTAAACGAATTTGCTCATGATGACATGTAAATTTGGAGGGACCTGTGGACCACACTGACCTACAGGATAACCCAGTGACTTGCCCCAGGCTGCACGCTGGCCCTGCCCTGCCTGACGAGTTGAATGAAAACTGATAAGACTAGTCATAGCTTCAGAAGCCAAAACTGGGCCAAGCCAAAACTGGGCCAGGCCGAAACGGCAAATGGGAAGGAATATAACACGGACAGATGCAAGCTCTGCACTTAACTAAGCTTGCTTGGTGTGACCAGGAATGAAACAAGTGTTTTAGAGCAATACACAGAGAAAAGATCTGGGCATTTTGTGGGTCACAAGCCCAGCATGTGTCTACAGGGTGATGGGCTGCACAAGACACAAATGCAGCTGTCACTGGGTGTACCCCCAGACACCTGTGACTCCTTTTGGCAGTTTTTGTGCATGTCTTCCCTGGGATAGGCCCTAGAACTCCATGCAGAGAGCTACCCTGGGGCCCCTGGAGTTCCCTAGCCTGCATGCCAGAAAGCCAGCAGTCCCCAGAGGTTACACCCCCAGCTCTGGGTAGCCCTTACTCTTAGGTGGAAATTGTACCCTGGCCCTCCCTTGTGGGATCTGACTTGGCCTAAATCACACCCTTGCTTGCACCTTTCCTTCCTAGCTCTCCCCTCCTTGATAACTCCAGAAGCCTCCTCTCAGCATGAGCTCCTTGGGAACCCTACCCGAGATCAAGCAACGATGGGGGTGGCATGGTCCTCCTTGACGTGGCTCTGGGAACCACCTTTCCAGAGGCCCATGGCCAGAAGCACATGTTTCAAACTGAGGGTGAGGGACTTGGAAAGAGGCTCGATACGGGGTTTTTGAGGAAATAGGATGTGGAGCATGACCACAGCCAAGCTGGTAGGGCAAGAGCTAGCCCCCGTATGTAGCCATGGGACTGGGGACCAAGACCACCGGCATGTGCCATGCTAACTTGGCACCAGGAGCGTTCCATAAGTTACCCCATTTCATCCTCATAATACGCCTGTGAAGGAGGCACCAGCATCATCCCCACGTTACAGACGAGGAAGTTTAGGATCACTGAGCTAGTAACTTGCCCAAGATCTCATGGATGTATCTGTGGAGAAAGGCTCAAATCCCAGCTTTCGGCCGCTAGCAGTAGCAGTCCGCCCCATGGCCCGAGTTAGGACCTGTATGGGGCAGGCCCCCTTCAGCCCCAGTCAAATGGATCCAGCACGTCTAGGGGAGGTGACATCACAGTGGAACAGGCCCACTCTGGCTCTTCCTCCGCCCCCCGGCCCCCAGCACTGTGGCTCAGGCAGCAGAGGCAGCTCTGCTCTGGCAGGAACAGCTTCCTCCCCAGTTCGGATTAATAGTTTCTTGTGAGGTTGATGGCAACCTGGGGACAATATAAGGGACACACACCTTGGGTCCTGGCCACAGGACAGGCACGCCCAGAGGTGACAAGCTCCAGAAAGCCATGCTTCACCTGGGGACCCAGCCCACCATGGAAGGAGAGTGGTCGGGCAGAAGTGAGGGGGGTTTGTGCTGAGGCAGTGAGTTCTAGGACTCTGGGGGTTTATGCTCCAAAGGACAGACTTTGTTCCAGGACAGACTATGCTCCAGGACAAATAAACAAGACTGGCCAGGACCAATGCCCCTTCTCTGATGGGGCACAGCTCTGACCTTCGAGCTTACATTTATTTTAAATGTAAAACAAAACAAACATCAACAGTCAAATCCAACACCTCCTGGAGTGGGGCCTGAAAGGGACCCCGACTGGATTCCAAGGGAAGGAGATCTGTAAACTAGGCCAGTGGCTGTGTTCTAGGGCCCTAAACCACTACAGGCATCAGGCCTGGCCCAGGAGGGGCCCTGGCCAGTGGGTGGGGAATGAGTCTCCAGGTCCAGTTCAGAAATTAAGCCTCAGTTGCTGCAGGCAGAGCCCTGGGCAGCAGCTGTGCAGCCTGGGCTAGCCAGACCAGGGAGGTTGTTTGTTTATTATCCAGGAGGGTGGTCTGGGGGCCCAGGCAAGACACAGGCCAGGCTGGAGTCCAGCACCACCCTGCAGATGTTCATGGTGGTCACAGTGTGCTTCGTGGGCCAATCGAGTGGCCCTGCGCCAGGCCCAGCCCTGCCTGCCATCACAGCGTGCCAGGTGCACAGAGGTGGTAGACTGGCACACAGCCAAGCAGAGCAGACGCATGAGAATCTGCATATGACAGAGGAGAAAGTCTCTTGTGAAATGGGTTTCACTGGTCCCAGCCAAACCCTGTGGCACGTGACCCTCCCCCGCCCCTCCTGAACCTGCCACCTGCCTTCTCTTGTCCCAGCTAGTGGCCTCACCCTCCTCTTGCACAAACTGGAAATCTCAGCCTCCTGGAACTCCTCCTCCTTCCCAAATCCACCGCACACACGTGTGTGTGTGTGTGTGTGTGTGTGACATGCACACGCATGTGAAGCCAGCCCCCGGCTGCCGCTCCATCACAGCCCCTCCTCGGTGTCCCGCACCATGTCTTCCTGGGCTCCTGCCTCCTAACTCTTCTGTGCCAATCTCCTCTCCATTGGCAGCCAAAAGGATATTTTTTCCTTTTTGTTTTGTTTTGTTTTCTTTTTTTTTTTTTTTTTTTGAGACAGAGTCTCACTCTGTTGCCTGGGCTAGAGTGCTGTGGCATCAGCCTAGCTCACAGCAACCTCAATCTCCTGGGCTCAAGTGATCCTGCTGCATCAGCCTCCCAAGTAGCTGGGACTATAGGCATGCGCCACCATGCCCGGCTAATTTTTTCTATATATATTATTTGGCCAATTAATTTCTTTCTATTTATAGTAGAGACGGGGTCTCGCTCTTGCTCAGGCTGGTTTCGAACTCCTGACCTCAAGCAATCCACCCACCTCAGCCTCCCAGAGTGCTAGGATTACAGGCGTGAGCCACCGCACGGCAGCCTGGTTTTTTTTTTTTTCGAGACAGGGTCTTGCTTTGTCACCCAGGCTAGAGTGCAGTGGCGTCATCACAACTCACTGCAGCCTCAAACTACTGGATTCAAGCAATCCTTCCGCCTCAGTCTCCCAAGAAGCTGAGACTACAGGCATATGACACCACACCTGGCTAAATTTTTCTGTTTTTTGTAGAGACGGCGTCTTGCTCTGCACAGGCTGGTCTCAAACTCCTGGCCTCAAACAATCCTCCTACCTCGGCCTCCCACAGTGCTAGAATTACAGGCATGAGCAATTGCGCCCAGCCAGATATTTCTAAATTGAAATCTGGACCCACCACCCCTTCCACAGCTCCCCAAAGTCCCCTTCCTCAGTCACACTAGCATCTTCCCAATGGGGACCCCTTGCCAGTCTCCCAACCCAACAAGCACCCCCACAGGGCTTCCACTGCAGAGACTCACCATGGCCAGGCAGAATAGGCACCTCCAACCTCTGTCCAGGCTGTTCCCCATCGGCCTGGCAGGTCATTCTTCCCTCCGCCCACCTGTCCAGCCCCTCTGTGTAAAGGGCCCCTCCCCCATGTCCCCATAGCCATTTCTCTCTCCCATGTGGCACCACCAGGCCAGGGCTCCTGGAGCCCCTGTGGCAAGGCCAGGTGCATGTACCCAGGGGTCATTCCCCAGAACGTGAGATGCCTGCCCTGACCCCACACAGAGGGACTGGCAGGCCTAGATCCCCAAGGGGTGCACTGCACACCTAGGACAGGCACGTTTCTGGGTGAGAATGGCCCATCTTGGGGCTTTGGGCGGCATTTGGCAAGCCTTTCTCACCTTGGCCTATTAGAATGCCACTCCTGCTTTAAAAATCAACCCATTGTTGCACGAGTCATTTCCACCTCAATGAGTCCCAGGTCCTTGAGGATGGGGAAAAGTAAGGCAGCTTTCAGGTCTTGGGTTCCCAAGTGCAGATGGGGCCCCAGGAATGGGGCCAGGCCAGGGGCCCTGACACCACCTTAATCCTTTGGCTCCTTCACAAGGGTGGACTGGGGGATTCCGTCCCAGGAGCTTGGGATCACCAAGTCCCAGGACAAGGACACAAGCCCACGTCCATCCTCTGCAGGCCTTAAGAAATCCCTGGGCAATGAAGACAGGCTGCCCCTGGCCCCCACTGCCTGGGCCATGTCAGGTCACATTGGCAGGACTGGGCGAACCCTCACAGCCTCCAACTAGGGCCATTTCCCACCAGGTGGGAGTCCCTACCCCATGTCCCACAGCCAGTCTCCTTCCCTGTCCCCATCCCTTCCTGCCCTCCGCCTTCCAAGAACTGTGCCAGTTGAGAAGAAATCCTTAAGCCAAAGGAATGAGGAGAAGATGGTGCAATTTCAGGAAGTACAACATATTTGGGGGCCAGTGGCTGCCCGCCTGTCTCCTCTTCCTGAGGCCACCCCCTGACACAATGATCTGCAAGGGGGCTGGCTCTTTCTTGGAAGTGCCCCTGGAAGCCTACACCCCTCCGTGCCGCTCAGCACCCCTCCATCCCGCCCCACACCGTGAGCTCAGCTGGGGCAGGGCAGCCTGGCTCATCCCCCATGGAATCCACGGAAGCCCGCATAGAACGCGCTTAATAAGTTCTTGCGCACAACTGCAACGAACCAGACAGTGTGTGCTGCAGGGAGCCGCACGGACACGGCCAGGCCTAGCTGTGAATCCCAGCCCGACGCTTTAAGCTGTCCAGTGTGGGCGCAGCAGCTACAGCCTTGCCGAACGTCTACTGTTTCATCTGTAAAACAGGTGAAGAGGCGAAGACTCAACAAGGTAAGGTGTGAAGCACAGTATGCGGCACATAGGAGGCTTTTGGCAATATCAGTCCCCTTCCCTAAAGACCCAGGCAGTCCCTGTCACTGGGGCCCCACGCTTCATGTCAGGAATTCAATATATCTCAGTACTCCTTTAAAATAAAGCCACTGAGAGTCCAAAGGGAAAATGTGGCAGAGTTCTGAGGGCAGTTTGAATAGAAGGTCAAGTTTTTTACAGAAAACTCAGGATCTCCCTTGTGCACAGTGCTGAAATCCTGTCTCAACATTCAAAGCCCGGAATGTGCAGAAATGTGGCCTTTGGGAAACAAGCCCTTAAAAACCAGCCCAGCTACATGGGGCAGAAAGCCCCAGGCTGCAGTCCCGTGGCCCGTATGCAGCTGGCATGCAGATAACAGTTGTGGCCAGCTGCCAGTGGGTCCAGGGAGCACGGGGTCCCCACTGTCCCTGGCCCTGGTCTAGAGCCAAGTCCATAGGTCCAGGTCAGCTCCAAGGGCTGCAGCTCCTCACTCGGGGGCTGTGCTGGAGCAGCCACAGCAGCTGGGACGCCGCAGGGACTGCATGACAGCCCGCAGCGGCCCCCTCCGACCCTCTGCAGACAGGCTGTCCTCGCTGGTGGGCGCCCGCTGCAGCTGTTCAAACTGCATCTCCAGGTGCTTCTGGATGGCCACGCCGAGCACCTCAGGGTCCACCGAAGCTCCATACACCTCCCACGTCATGCCTTCCGCGTCCCATCGCACATCCCGCACAGGGGATGGCGCCTCCTCCAAGCTGGACCCCAGAGTTACCTCTGGGAACATGTGCAGAGCCACAGGTGCTTCCATAGATGGGCTGGTGGCCACATCCTTGCAGGATGCCACTGGGGCTGCCTGCACACCAGCATCCTGGGCTGACGGAGGAGATGCCACTGCAGGGGCCAAGTCACTGGCTGAGGTCATGGTCCACACATCTTTGGTCCTAGAGCCAGGCTCTGTGGCCAACCCAGTGGGATCCCAACGGTGGGCACAGCAGTAGGAGTGCCCAGGGACCCCCCCGGGCAACTTACAGTGAAACTTCACCCCATGCTGAGCCTGTAGCCCAGACTCGCTTACTGATGCCACTAGTTTGGGAAAGGCCAGGATCCCTGTGGCAGGCAGGGCATGACAGCAGCTGCCAGCCCCCTCCTTACTCATGCTGCAGAATAGAGCTGCTGGGGGCAGAGCACGGCAGGAGGTGGTAGCTGACTGCCCAGTGGCTTTGGGCTCAGGCTGGAGACTGCTGCTGCAGGTAGTTGTGCCCCCCAGGTCTGGTGACAGCACCCCCACCTGACTCTCCCCCAGCATCCAGGCTGAGTTAGAAGTCCCATCCTCTGGAGCTGGGTCCCTTTCCAGGTCTACAGGGAACTGGCCACCCTGGTCAGAAGAATCGCCAGGCTGCAGCTGAGCCCTGTGGACAGGGGAGCTGCCAAGGGCCATGCAGCTGAGGCTGGCCTTCCGAGCACTGCCATGACCCCGCATCTGGATGCTATGGACCAGGTCCGAGTGGCTTCTCTGCACGGCAGTGCCACCAGTGGCCCGCAAGTGACACAGGTCACCACTGCCCATGGTGGACACATTGCCCACAGTGCTGCTCCGCCAGTGGCCCCCAGCACCAGGCTGTGGTCGGGGGCTGGAGGCCTGTGCTGGCTCCATGCTCTCAGCTGGGTACCCCTCTTCCTCTGGGGCCTGGGGACTAGTGCTGGCCTCGCCCGGTTGGGCCTGCCACACGGTGCTGCTGGCACTCTTGCGTAGCTCAGGCCTCTGCCCTCGGCCTTCACCTAGCAGGCTGGAAGAGCTCCGGGACAGGGGCTGCAGGTGGGGGCTCAGGGGTGCCCGGGCACCTGGCTCAGGGCGGCTGGAGCTCATGGCTGCCTGCAGGAGAGAAAAAGCGGGGAGAGAGGTTGAGTTGGACGGTAGCACCTCAGCCAGACACTGCTGTGAGCTCGCACAGTGCTAGGCCCACTGTGGGGACAGCTTCAGTCTCAGGCTGCCTGACTGGTCAGAACCTTAAGCAAGACAGTGACAAGATGCCAGAGCTTTCAAATCAAGGTCATCACATTATACACAAGGATGACACTGCAAATATCTCATAGGCAGTACAGAGCAGTTAGACCCTGCCCTAGGGAAGGGTCCTGGAGACCACCCACCATGTCAGCCCGTGGCTCTTCACTGGCTGGCTCAAGGGGGAGGGGGAGGGAGTCCAGGGAAGAGGCCAGGTCTACAGGGCCTCTCAGAAGGGACTGTGGCACTGGGGGCAGGAGCTGTGGGACAACAGCTGCTAGTCGATCAGCACAGAAGTATTGCAATGTGTTAACAACCTGCACAGCCTGACTGGCAGATCCCAGCCTGCTTCCTCCTGGGACTGGCAGCATCCATCTCACTGTGGACTGGGGCCTCCTGGGAAGAGCAGGGGCTCATAGAAGGTTTGTGGGTTGAAGAGCAATGAACAGAGACACTGAGAACTGCCCTGGGCTCTCCCTGTGCCCCTCCCCATCCTCTCTGGCCCAGCCTCGCTGAGCTGTCACGTCTCTGGGACTCAGCTCCTGGACTCCCATCTCCAGCTCCAGGGGCAGGGAGAGGCCCTACGCATCAGCCTTGGGCACACGGGAGTGACTCAGGATTTGGTCATTCACTCCACAGCCACCTCCTGAGACCCTACCACATGCCCAGCTCCGCATCAGGGGAGCACGCGGCTCAGTTAGATCTGCTGCGCCCCTGGAGATGGCGGGCCGGCAGCGAGGCACTCAGAGCACGCCTGCCGTATGTGTGACCAAGAGAACGCGCACATGCAAGAACAAACCCCCAGAGGAGGGCACTGAGTGCCAAAAGCAGGGTCTGGGGAGGGCACGCCAAGGCAGGAGAGCTCACTTTGGGTGATGCGTCAGAAAAAGCTCCCTGGAGGACCAGCCATGTCAGTGGGGCCTGGAGAGAGAGGAGGGAGAAGGCGGCCAGAAGGGAGGAACAGGAAAGAGGCCATGTGCTCAAAGCACATGATGGGAGTGGTAGGGTCAGGGTGTCTGGGCTCCCAACCCTAGACAAAGCTATGAACTAGGGAGATCACTCCAGGACTCCCTGGCCAGGCAGGATCGGCTAGAGAAACAGGGTGGGGACAGCAAGCAACAGTTGCATTTGAGCAGTCCCAGCCCTGCCCTCCCATCCCTGAGCTGATAAGGACTGCCAGGAAACTCACCACCCTGGCCAGGTGAGCAAGGCTACCCAAGAGGAAGGTGGGAAGGGCTCCAGAAGTCAATTTCTGTGTAATTACAAACTTCGTGTTATCCCAGCACTCAGGAGACAGCTGGTGGCTGTTGGAGCCACAGTGAGGATGATGCCGGAGCCAGATCCCTGACAGTCCAGTTCCGCACAACCTCCCATGATGACGGAAAGGCTCCACCCTGTGCAGCCCAATCGGTAGGCACTAGCCACATGTGGGTGCCGAGCACTAGACAGGTGGCCACCACAACTTAGAAACAGAAAGCTTACTTTTATTTAAATTTAAGTAATTTAAATCTGACTGGCCACGCATGGCTAACAGCTACCACACTGGACCACGTTGCTCTGCACACAGCCCCAGCCTAGCAAGGTCTGTCCCTTCCTGGCTGCTTCTTGCAGCCAAAGCCAGCCTGGTCCCTGGGAGGGTCAGGGAGAGGATGAGTAGCCAGGAAAGGACTCTGCCAGGCCTTGCCCTCAGGGAGCGCTAAGATGGATGTATAGACAGAGGAGGGCAATAAAGCCAGTGATAATTGTAGTGGTGATAGTAAGAATAACAGCTCCCAGGGCATGATCACGCACTGTGTGCCACATCCTTTGCACACATTGTCTCATTTAGTTATCAGAGCAACTTCACAAGATATGTCATTATCCCCATTCTATAGACAAGGAGACAAAAGTTCAGAGGAGTTCGGAGACTTGCCAAGGGCACACAGCAGGCGAGTGTCTGAGCTCCTCCCCATCTGAGCACTGGGCAGACCTCCATCCTGGCAGTTCCTGCCCACCAAAAAGTGGTATTTTTTACTTAATTGGTGCCCTGGCTTGACTAGAGAGCCAGCACCCAGCCCAGAGCCTGGCACCGGCAATGGTGCTCATGACATGCCAGTGGAACAGTGACTGAGTGGACCCCCACCCGGCCCACCTGCTCCTTAGCAGCTTCTGGGGCTGCCTGGAGCGAGGAGGGCAGAAGGTGCACCCGCTGGCCGGGAAGGCTGTGGTCACTGCCAGCCCCTGGCAGGTAGAAAACACCCAGCCTCAGGTCCAAGAACGCCAAGGAAGCCCCATCTGGATAGCCCACACAGTCTCTGGCTGTGCCCCACCACTTTGGGCCCTCCTAGGGAGCAGGGCCATAAAGATCCAGCAGCCCCAGGCCCCTGAGAAGACAGGTGGGACAGGGCAGGAGGTACCCTCAGACCCCTACCAAAACCTAGTGAGAAGCCATCAGTCACGAGGGTCCTACTGTGCCTACCCAGGGGTAGCTATCACCAAGAAAGATCTTAGTTGGGTGGGGGGGTCCGGTCATATCTGTTGGTTTTCTTCCCAAATGTCAGATGACAAAACCGAGGTCTGGAGCAGTTCAGAAAAATGTCAGAGAAACCACAGCTGAAAGCGGCCAATTCAGAACCCCAAAAAAGTATCCACCTACAATGTGCATTTTAAATGCCCAGAACGGCACGCCCACCCTGCCTTTATAACCACGGGTTCTGGTTTCACCCTAAGGAGACCCTTGGAAGATGTTTTAGCACGAGATAAGAATCAGGCACATAGAAGTATCCAAGACCCCTAGTGTTCCTTGAATGATACCTTAATGTTCTCTCTCCTGCCCCGTTTGATGTCAACGTTGTGATGGCTCTGGCTGATGTCCTGGGCCAATGCCGGGCTGTCCTGCTGCCTCAGGTTCCGCTCGTCAGCAACTGCAAGATCAACCAGCCTCACATGCAGCAATTGACGGTCATTTCTAGCATAAGCCCTCGTTCTGCAGACACTTGCAGACTAGCTAACCAAAGAGACTTGGTCAGAGGTTCCAACTCCCTCCACGTTGCCCCAGCAGAGGGGCCCAGGCCTTTGAGACATGCGCAGGGGAACTATCAAGGCCACCACAAGTGGATTCTATCTCCAACCACACCGTGGCATCCATGTAAGCCCCTTCTTGTTAAGCAGCAGGCATTAGCTGATAACTTCTGAGTCCAGCAAAACCAAAATAGGAAAATCAAAGCCACATGGTCAGTAGGGAAAACTGGTTACATGCTAAAATATAGACCTACCTCTCAGGAACCAGGCAGGAAAACACACCCCACAGATCCCTCATCGCATAGCGGGGGTTGGCAACCTCTGGCAGATGGTCTAATCCATCCCAGGGCAAAAGGGGGCCTGGCAGGAACACAGAGGGCCAAGTTGGGCAGTGGGCAGGGAATGCCCCTGAAAGGGAGTGTCTGGAGAGGACAAAACCTGCCCATCACAGGGGGATGAAGGTGTCTTTAGGGCAACATGCCCTAAGTCACAAGCTCTGCCAAAAAAGGAGCCGGGGTAACTGCGGAACAATGGTCCCACGGACACAGCTCCACTCATAAGAGACCCAGGCTCCCAAAGGCCCCCAGCTCCCTCCCCAGGGGGGACTTGCCCACCCTCCCTGGTGGCACCCAGCTGACAGCACTCATGCCCCAACATGGGCACACATCCCACTGTGGACGCACCAGAGGCCGACTTGGACGTGGACACACAGGCCTGTCTGCGATGGGAGCCTGCAGGAAATAGCGTCTACACAGCTGCACTCCGCAGGCCAAGCAGCGGGGCCAAAGGCCTGAACACACTACACCACGCGGCCTCCCCAGCGCAGGGCTCCCCGCCCGCCCCTACCGCGCAAAGCCACCCCGACCCTAAGGGGGAAGGACCTCAACGCAGCCCGGGCTACAGACCTTCCCCGCAGCAAAGGCAGCGACTGAAGGAAGAAGGGCTGTGGGCTGGGAGGGAGGACGCGGGCAGGAGGCGCGAAAGGGCACGGGGCTGGGGAGGCCGGGCTGCGGGCAGTGGCGGGAGGGTGCGGTGGAGGACGGGAACGGCAGCGCAGGAATGGGAGAGGGAAGCGCGCAGGAGCAGGGGAGGCCGAAGGAGACGGGGTCCTGGGCAGAGTAACGAAAAATGGGCGATAGGCAGGGGAGACACGGAAGAGGGACAGGCCAGGGCAGTGGGAGGCGAGGTGGGAGGGGGACGCGGTCACCGGGCGCCGAGCCCGCGGCGGGGCGGGACGCGGGGTCCGGACGCAGGCGGGGGTGAGGAGTGGGCTCGGGGCGCAGGGAGCGGGCGCCGCCCATCGCACCCCTCCCCCCGGGCACCACGGAGCCGGCCGCTCACCCTGTCGCCCGCCGGGCCGCGCAGGCCGGCGGAAGCGCTGCTCCTGCGGCCGCCACAGGTGCCCGGCGCGGCGGCCCAAGATGGAGCCGGAGCCGGACCGGCCGGGACCCAGACGCCGCCGGCCGCCGTCCGCCCGGCCCGCGCCCGCAGTTGCCAGCGCCGGGGAGGCGGCGAGGGCGCGGCGCGGGCGCGGGGCGGGGCGGGCGCAGGGGCGGAGGCCCTGCTCACCTGGGCCACCGGCCAGGCCCCGCCCCGGCTCTGCCGCACCGCCCCACGACCCCTGTCCGGCCCTCCCGCGAGACCCCAGCCTCCTTCCCGATCCTCCACGGCCGGGTCCACCGTCCTGTCTTTTGGGCTCCTCCACCCCACGACTCCTGCTTTCCAGGCCAGCCCAACGAACCCCCAAGATACCCACCTTCCTGACCCGACCTGCTGTGAGCGCCCACCCTCCGGCCCCGACCCCGCCCCATCCACTCCTCATAGCCCCGCCCCTCAACTCAGTCCCTCCCGCACCCGCCCCGCACCGAGGTCTGCGACGCCGCTGGCGACCCGGCTCCTCGCGCTGGCCCTCCTGTCCTCCTTCATCCTGCCTCGCCTATCGCAGTTTCTGCCTCCCCCGCGCGCCCTGGAGACCCCCTTCCTCTAGGCCTGCCCCTTCGGACTGGGGATCCTCCAAGCCATGGACCCCACAGTCCCATACTCTCGGCTCCACCCCAAGCCTGACCCTCGTCCACTGGGCTCCAGGCCACCGGCATGGTCCCTGGAGCCTCCACCCGGGCCCTACTACCCCAACCTCAAAGACACCTGCCCCAAGATTTCGTTCTCAGCCCGCCCCTCAGGCTCGTAATCTACCACCCTTTCCCCGCCCAAGTCCTATCCCACCCTTGCGCCCAAGCCAGCCTAACTCGAGGCCTTTAATCTCAAGCCGGCCCCACGGACTCCGGTAGCCAGCGTGTGCAGGCACCGTGGGGGTGAACCACCCCACCCACACCCAATCCTGTAGCCCGAAACTCGCTCCCTCGCTTCTTCTCCGCCCCATGACACCGGAGCCCGTCCAGGCCATGGGATCACCTGTTCCCAGCCTACCGGCCTGGGCCCGGGGAATTAAGTCCCTCAATATCCCTGAGTCTCTGACAGCCGCTGGTGCCTAGGGCACAAAGGTGTGGGTCAGGCAGCCACCTGCCCAGGCTGCCCAGACCCCTTCTGTCCTCAAGGGCTTCCTGCTACCCATGCCCAGGGCCAAGCGGTAAGAGAGCCTGTATCCCCAGTCTCAGAGAACTGGGTCCCAATGTCGGCCCTCCTCCCTTTGTCACCAGCCCTGGGACCTCCTACCTGTTGCCCAGCCCTTTGCTGAGGGGTCTGCACGGCTCCTTCCCTTCCAGTGACCCAGGGATCCAGCACCATCTCTGCTTCTCCTCCCGTCTGGGGCTGGGCTAGTCTGCACAGGAGACTGGCAGACGGCTCCCCAGGCCCTGTTAACAGGGGAGGCCAAGTGGAGCCCTACCACTCCCCAGCACCACACAGCCTGTGGGCAGAGGTCTGCCAAAAGGAGGCAAATAAGAAATGTGTTTGCTGAGCCCCCCCACTCCTGCCCCTACCCAGGAATAGGCCCTCCCTCCACATCTCAGGAATCTCACTCAGACTTTTTAGTGAAGTCAGCTAGCCCCAAGAAGGGGTGCTACGCGTGGCGACGGCTGAGAGTTGGGCCAGATCCAGACCTCAGACCTGGGGCTCCCAGCTCCTGGGCGTCCTGCGAGCCCTCCAAGAGCCTAACCAAGTGCTGTTTCAAGGGAAGTCTGCTTTGGAGTGGGTGTCAACAGATGTCTGTCATGCCTGATGCCACAGAACACAGCGTAGCTGAACTTCACCACTAGGGTCTCTGAGCAGCACCTTAGCCTTGCCTCTTGTCCCCCTTCTTCCATTTGTGGCCTGGCAAGGAGGTCACTCTGGTTGTGGCAGCTGCCCAGGGGAGCCGTAGGGTGGGAGTCAGACTTGAACTCCAGTCCAAACTCCCCCACGTAGTGGCTGGCTCTGCCATCGCCATGCCCAAGCGAAACTGTTCACCTGTCTGGGCACTGGCTTCATCATCTGCAGAGTGGCAGTGATTATACCTGCCTCACAGGGCTGGGGGACAATGGTATTTGTGAAAGTAGGTTTCGCTTGCTATCAGTCATTCGATCAATATTTACCAAGCTCCTCCTGTGTCAGGTTCTGAGGTACAAGCTAGTTCTTGCTTTGGAGAAGCATGGGATGGGGATGAGTAGACTGCTTTGGCAGAAGCGTGGCTCTGGCCTGAGGACCATGTGGCAAGTGCCATCTGCTAGAACTCTGAACCCGCAGAAGAGCAGCCATGTGTTGTGCCTTGGATGCGTGAGACACCACACGGAGAGTGGGCAGTGTGCCCACACATGACTGGAGTTTCCCAGGAGGCCTGGGCATTGTGGGCACGGGGTTGGCCCTGAAGCCAGGGTTGGCTCAGGTCTCCAGGGCAAGAGTGGGAGTGCGAAGACGGCTTAGGACCCAGCAGTGCGTCTCCACGGTAGCAAAGGAGCAGCCAGAAAGGACAGGAAGAAATGGGGGGCATTGCAGTGACACCAGATTCTTAGTGCAAGCAGCTTCAGTTGGGGGTGACAGAGGCAGAGCACGGAGGCCTGCGGATGAGCTGGGAGGGAGACTGGAGACAGTGCGCTGTGGACAACTCTTCGAAGCACAGCTGTAGAGGAGAAAAAGAAAGTGTCACTTGGAAAGGGATGTGGGATCTAGAGAGGGTGGGTTTGTTCTGTTTCTGTTTGTCTGCCTGCTTGCTTTTAATGCGTGGCATCCGTGTCGCAGTTTCCTTGACTTCAAGCAACAGAAAACAAGTCTGGGTACATTAAGCAAAGGGGACTGTGTGGAAGATTGCAGGAGCCCAGAAGCTGATGCTGGAGCTAGCTGTGGTTCTCAGGCAGGAGCCAGGTGACTCAGACTCTACGGCTGGGAGCCACTTCGCTCATGGTGTCACCTGTGACCATCTCCAAGAAAGGTTCCTATCCTTTGTCCCTTGGTCTGTCTCTCAGCTCATTCAAGTTCCCAGTGGACTGGAGCTGTGTTTGGCCAGGTTACACGCACATGCCCTCTGTCTTTGGATGAATACCTGGAGGAATATCCGCCAAGTGCTTTAGGCCACTCCAACTGCCCACCGAGACTTCACACCACGTCTTTCCCCAGAAGGAAGCGTTGCGGTCTGGGTGGCGAAACAGACAGATGGACCACTGCACGTTGTAACAAATTGAGCATTTTGGACAGCTGCGGAGAACGTGACCCACAGAGAGGTGAGTGGATGGAGATAAGGAGTGGGAATCCCTGCTGCCATCAGGTCCCCAAAGGACTGAGACCCCGGAAGGAGTTAGTAGGAAAGGGGCAGATGGCTTATTACGGAAGACAGGAAGGCAAGAGGAAAGGATGTGGGTTACTGAGGTAGTATTGTCTCTCCTCTTTGGGAAAGAAGGTGCGTGGCAGCCCACGCTCGTACTCCGTCACAATCCTTGATCGTAAAAAACCTTCAAATCAATCTTATTGACCCTGCGTTGAAATCCTGGTCGGAGGGAGAGAGCTCGCCACGGCCAGCCTCTGCCATCTGCTCTTCTGGATGGCGGGGGGGACACCGCACTAGGAACAGAGAGTGGGACACCGTTTGCTCCCCAAAGGAAGGCAAGGTGCTCATTGCCAGTATGAAAGGGAAAGTGACCACTGAGCTGGCCCAAACACAAAAGGAACCGCTGGGAACAACATCCGGTTGGGAGTCTTCTCAGAAGGAAGACATGCTGAGGATTTGGAACGTGCGGTGTGTTCATCGATGCTAAGGAAGGAGAGAGCTTTGACTCGTCAAACAGTATCTTGCTTTTCTGCAAAAAATCTTCCTACGAGTGCAAAGAAGCCCTCTAGCAATGGGATCCGTCAGTGAAAAGGCTGTACTCTGTCTGAACAGAAGGACGCTGAGTTCCCCGAACCCGGCTCCGGCCATGAATAGTGCTGGAGGATAATGGTGGATGGTATGGTGGATGGATGGATGGATGAGGATTGGATGGGATGGCGTGGAGGTAGTTTCATCCAGAACACCTATCAACTACCATTCAGCCTACTTCCACAGACATTTCCGATCCTAACAACTGCTATCCCAGGCCGTGCTGGGCAGCCACAGGTGGCACCAAGGTGCCTTGTCCCCCAGGTCTTGGTGTTCAGGGAGGGTGGTGACAGATGCACGAGGCGACGAGTGAGGTCACAGGGGAATTAGAGGGCAACAGAAGCTGGGCGCTCCAGAGGAGAGCCTTGGAGTAGGCGGGCCTACTGCTTTTCAGCTCCACATCCATCCCCGTTTCATTTGGGGGGATCACCCTGAGACAGACTGCACCTGTCCCCCAGCATTTATTTTTCCCTTCTATAATAGTAGAACTCCTCTAGCTCGAGCGGGACTGCCAGAACGACAGCCACATTCCCAGGCCCTCACCGCCAGCGCGCGCGCCGGGTTCTGAGACAGATGTCGCAGGAAGCGATGTGTGCGGCTTCTCAGTCCTGCCCTTCAGGAGGCAAATGTGCCTTGCCTTCCCTCTCCAGGGTGGGATGAATCATGGCGTCGAGCCGGTTCTGTACATTTAGATGAGGCAACACAAACTAGGCTATGTCCCACGCACAGTCACGCTTGCTGTCAGCCTTGGATTGATCTAATGACAGGTTTTACATGAAAGAGAAATAACCTCTCGCCTATTTAAACCCCGTATTCATGATGAGAGCTCTCCATCTACAGAAAGGAAAGCCTACACTGATACCAATTCTCTACCTGGAGAGAGGTGGCTTTCAGGTAACAAAACGCAAATGTGTTTTAGTACTGACATAGATACA